TTGTGTTATGTGTGCGGAAGTTGAAGCACTCTTTATATTTGACATGCTTTTGCAAAATGTTTTTTTTTAGTTTGTGTGACTAAGTCATTTTTTGGACAAAAAACCCACAGCAAAAATTTCCGAAAATAACAAATATGACTCGATAAGTGTACGTATTCAGAGGTTTGCAAATCAACTTATCGACCTTTACCTCTTTGTGATAAAATTACTTATTCAGCCAACTGGACATCACTTTATACTGATTTTAGACAACTATAAAAACCGGATAAAGCAAGAACTGAAACAGCTGAACCGTACAAATGACGGATTTCTGATCCGATAGAGGACCAAAAGCGTGCTGGGTTTTGATCCAGGTGGAGAGCTTGGTCACATTCTTTTGCTTGGTTGCTGATTGCATGAATGACCCACATCCGAAGGTGAAGAAAATGTCGACTGGGAATGTCAAATGCTTAAACCTTATCTTTGCACAACTTCAGCCGTAGTTTGGTTAAAAAGAAAGAACATAAATCATAGTTTCGATGATAGTATGAATTAATTTTTTTCAGATCCAAATCAAAAAGCCGATATTCATAATTGGTCCTCCTCGCACTGGGACTACTTTCCTCCAAAAGCTCTTATTCTCCGACCCGCAGAATACATGCTTGAAGTATTATGAAGTTTTACAACCAGCTGTAGATGTAACTCCTGTTGTGGAGGACACACGAATTTTGAAAACTACTCATGAAATAGGTAAGCAACATCAAAAATGATATTGTTTTACAGTGAGACTAAATAATTCATAGTTGAAGTATGCCCGTGGGATATAAAAACTTGATGTATGTGCTCTCTGGGTTTGCATGAATATAGTTATTGAAATAATCGTTATTTAGTCAGGATGTATGCAACCAGACCGGAATTCAAAACCGCCCACTACTTTGAGGCTACTGGACCGGAAGAAGACCACTATCTATTTTTTAACATCGGTGTGTTCAAGGATTACACGCTCCAACTGTGTAACTATGGAGAGTATATAAAGTGGATGCAGGCACGGAACAACTATGAAATAATTGAGGCTTATCATTTTCATAAACAGCAGACTCAGCTTATATTACACGGCAGAGGTGAGTCTCCGACAAGTTTTATCTTGCAGTTACTTCTTTTATTTAATAAGTTAGCAATGCAAGTGTCTTTCTTAATATCTAACATAATCCGTACAATCAACCAGGCAAAACACGATGACATCATCAAACTTTCTTAAAGTCGTTTACCAAAAGTCCCAAGTTTTTTTAAAAGTCATCTCTGCTTGGGTAACGTGAAATATACAAACTAACCCCCAATCGCCACGCACACACACACACACACATGCTCGTTGCATACCACTTTTTCAGTCCGATAATGCAATAGAAATCAGTCTATGATCACAACTTTATTATTAAGAAAGACGCTGATGCACTTTGAAAAATCCGAAAATGGCCGCCAAAAAATAGGTCTTGTTTTCTAATATGAACGGGTGTGAACACCACATATCTCAATGTTATCCCATTTCAAAACTTAATGGATCCTAAAATGTTTTTGCTCGTGAAAAAGTCAATTTAGGAAAGATAACTGAACCTGTCTTAGCACTTTCGTAATATAAATTTCAACAGACTGCCTGATATTTCAGAAGAACGTATCAGTATCAGACACTTTTAAATGAGGATTTTAATTTTTTGATGTCTGAATTTGAAAAAAAAATTAATTTTCTTAAAATAATCTTGTCATAAAAGAATGAATTTGAAACATTTAAAATGCAAATTGTATGCCTACAATAACTAGAATATGATGTCAATTTGGGACAACTTTTTTCCTGAATAGACTTAAAAAGTGAATTTGACGACACCGTTAAAAGAAGTTGCTGTTTTTCCTCAGAATCTCCGAACAATGATCTGCAAGTGGTGTTTAAGGAGAATGTACACAGTCTGTATTTGGATGCCCTACTTAAGGTGTATCCCGATGCAATCTTTGTTCATACCTACCGCAATCCATGCACATCCGTTGCTTCCTTGTGTTCTCTTCTTGAAAAGATCAAACCGGTTTCTTCTGAGGAACATGACGTTGACCTAAAGCAAATTGGCAGAAAGGTTTTAAGGAATTCATATTTCCACGGTGGAATAGAGATGATGAAGTTTAGGAAGAACCACCCAGAACTGGAGCACAGATTCATCGATATTGCATATGACGACCTCGTTATATCACCCATGGATGTTGTGAAGAAAATATACGCTCACTTTGGCCTGGAACTGACCGACCAAGGGAAAGCCAACATGGAGGGGTATGTCAAAGAAAACCCACAAAACAAATATGGCCGCCATGAGTATGACCTGAAGCGTTTTCACCTGACAAAAGAGGAAGTTTTGGAGCACTTTAAAGAATATATAGAGGAGTACAAAATTCCTTGTTGATTTAAATCAATCAATTTTTATTATCTAATGTATATTTTAAAGCAATAATAACTCTTCATTTGAGATTCAAAATTCTGCAAGAAATACATTCTAAACAACACATGGAAATATATTATATTGCATTTCACCACTAAAACGGCTGTTATTGTAGTAAAACTAAAAACTGTGCTTGTCAATAGGGCTTTCGGTGCCTTTCTTCCCGGTCGTCAAGGCATCCGTTGCCAAGGATGTTGGCGCATCACGCGGATTCTCGCGTGCATTCGAGACCAAAATAACATGTGGCGGGATAAGATATAGCAGGCGCATGACACAATCCTCAGACGTAATTGCGAGTTTTTGTACAGTGTGTCGGATAACGAAAAGCCAAGAACTGCACACGTTATAGATATAAATGCATTCTGAGTATATCGTATGAATCTTATTTTATTGTAATAAAGTGTTGTTGTTGCCTACTTTTCCCGCTGTTTTAAGTAGGTCATCAGAAAACCCCGCTCGATATCGCGTGACTTTGAATGCAGGAATGGGGTCGTTGACAATTGGTAAGTACGGGAAAATTGCCGTTTACGCCAGGAAAATCCAATTTTTGGCCAAAACGAAGAGTTATTATGACTTTAATGCTTTACTACGTTTATAATTAATACCACGTTTTGCTTTAATGATCAAGCTTTTCTATACCATTTCATAAGTTTACTAGTTGTTAAAGTGGCGATAAACATACTAATTTAATCAAAAGCATTAATATCATTAAAGGGATAACGGTCCATCGTTTGGGATTAATATTTCACCATAAATACCTTTTATTGTAAACAACTCGTTGAAATATAATATATACCATTTTACCACCAAAACTGCATTTATCGTAATTATATATTCTTTGCCATCGGACTAAGTGGCCTGGATAGATGGCTAACCTATTTTATATAGGAAATTTGTACACAAAATGATTTGTGTTTAAGCATGTTAAATAGAGTATCTGGAAAAAGCACAGTCTATTACAATATTCGCCTGTGATGTGATCATTTGTAAAGCACATGGGATCAGGGGTGGGAAGACCGTTTGTACCAATGTTGTATACTGTATTTTACTACCAAATCTAAGTTTATTCGAGAAAAGAACAGTTTTCTCCTACTCTAGAACCTTTGCTTAATATCCAGCAATATTAATATGTCGTTGTACAGAGTGCCAAATGCCTCGTGTCCTATCACGGAAATAGCCGGCGTCATCTGAGATGGTATGCACTTTTTGGCTGAAGACAATGTTATCTTTAAATTATAAAACCACTTTCTAGGAAGACACGGAATCGTTTTCGTCAGGAACCCCATTCGTCTGACCCAATGAGGTTGTGTTTTGAAATCCCTACACCATCTTTCCACCCAGACAGTATTGCTTGTTAAATTTCTCAGTTTAAGCTTTGAAACAAAAACATTGGAAATTCCTTTAACAGGCCTAAATCATATATATGCCAGTATCTCCGGTAGGCCAATGGTCTATATCTGACAGTACGTGATGTGATTGCCCTGAATGGTGACTGTATATGGGTTTCTATGTATCATATTCAGCACAACAGACACATTGACCCAGTTTCAGGATACGCCGTGGACTAAACCCCATTCAGTACAAAATATAAGGCAAGGACAGGTATTAGAGATATTTATGTAGGTGTTCTACCTTTCGTGCTAACAATTCCGCATAATGTCCCAGGAACACCTGATTCTTCTGACAGAGGAGAGCGTATTCAGGTATTTCTCTGAAGAAGATCGTAAGTTGCTTTTGTCGGATACCCTCATTGACCGCTGGTGGTATGAAGGATTCACCTTATTATTGAGGTGCTTTCGTGAAGACAGTGCTATAACTTCGCCAGGAAGACAGGAGATTGAAAGACGCTGGGTTGATGTCCTTAAAAACAGACTAGCGATGTCTAGACAACTGCCCTTAGTTGATTTAAACAAGGTAAGTACAGAAGGCATGCTTTGTTGACATCACTGTTCAAAATGCTCTCTTCTTTATATCTCTTTTAATATTTGTCTGTGTCTTTCGGTAAGTCATCACATTGAAACTAAGTGCAATTCCTACTACCTGTGGAGTGTATGAAACCTTCGAAGTTTTAGACACAGGGGCAATTCGACCTGTAGGCTACTGGTCAATTGAAAATAATCGGCCTCAACTTTAAAGAGGGCAGTCTGCTTTGTGCGTGAGTTATTTATCTCAAATTGGTAGACGGATACAGTGTTGAACAAAAGCGGTGTTTCAATCGATTACGCAACATTATGTGTGTTAATAGTCTCGACACCCAAGTTTGGAACCTATCATTTATTATGAATCCCTAACGAAAAAGTCCTATAGGATCCTATAGGAAATTGGTCCAATTTAATTTTCTTAAGGGATGGCCTTCGCTGCAGGATACGTTTAAATGCCCAGTTAACATTGACCCCATGGGTCAGCTGGTAATGACTTGACAGTCTAACCGCTACCTCATATGGCCCTGATATTGCTGTTGTGTGTGTTCTATGTTGTAGGGGTCCATGTTCCACCCTACCCAGGTTCTGCTAATATTTTACCTGTCACTGATGCATGGGAGAGGGAATATAACCACAGACTCACATATTCAGTTCCAAGTCTAAAAGTCCTTTATTAAGTCCAAGCATTCAGCCTTTATACACATTATCTACAGAGAATCTATCTGCATGCCAAAGTGGCAGCAACTCATTTAAATACTTATTGCAATGCAATAGATAGCGAGTGAAAGTTGTATCAGTTCTACTTATCAGGTATACCTATACAGAGGATGATAAATATTCATTCAAGACTAAAACAAGGTGAATGGTAATATGATGACTGATTATATAAACATAATATATGTAAATGAGAAAGTTCATCACATGCATTGAGTGGACCTTAACAATGTGTATTTTTTAAAGAAAGTCATTTTTCCCCGCATCTCCAATTCATTCAAATATAGATCTACCTGGTGAATACGATTGTAGTGTGATTTCCATAGCATGTGCTTGTTATCTGAGTGAACTAGGTTATTGCCCTTGGACAATGGTGTCTGTATGTGTTTGCAATATAATATTTAAAAATATTTTACAAAACAAAAAGGGGTTTTGTGATGCTTTTGTGGAAGTAAGAAAAACCCACTCTCCAGGTTTCACAAGATTATTTACGCAAAATATTTTCTTTGTGTGTGTGTGTGTGTGTGTGTGTGTGTGTGTGTGTGTGACCAAGTCATTTCTGGGCAAAAACCCACAGCAATAATTTCCAAAGTAACAAATATGGCTGGATAAGTGTATTTATTCAGAGGTCTGCAAATTAACATTTCGACCTTTTCCTGTTTGTGATAATTTAAATTATTCAGCCAGCTAGATGTGTTACGTTATACGATGAAAACATGTGTAACGAAACTGAGGGTCCGTAAGAAAGTCCGCCCTCCATAATGGTTAGGATTAGTGTGACCTATGTGGGTCAAAATCTAGTGCGAGGCTGTACAAATGAATTGGAAACTGACGCTCTATTATGGGGGACTCTCTGCACTAACCCGCTTCACAGGCACTAACCCGCAAAGATGCAAAGATACAACGAGTAGGGAAAAACATGGTGGTGTCTAGGCTGCATTGTCCAATCATAGAAAGTCTTTTTAGGTGATGCGCATTATTTAGTTCAAGATATAATGAGATGCCCTTATCATCTAGGACACTACTATAACTCGAAGTCCGCCATAGATAAAGGGCCATTAGCTGAGGTATTTTAACGTTAGTAACTGGGGCTACCTGATACCGATTTCTATCGGCGTTGGCTTAGTATAGTAACTAATCTTTTAGATATATATATACGTATCCAGTACTCAGTACGTGTATTTGAGAATTGAGATTGTTTGTTATACTTGAGTGTAAATAGCATAATGTCCCAAGGACAATTCATTTCTCTCACAGAGGAAAGTATTTTCTGCCACTTTTCTGAAGAAGACCGCGGGTCTCTGTTAAAGGATACTCTCGCCGGCCGCTGGTGGTATGAAGGATTTATCTTGTTACTGAGGTGCTTTCGTGAAGACAAAGCTATAAATTTGGCAGGAAGACAGGGGATTGAAAGACGCTTGGTTGATGTCCTTAACAACAGACTAGCAATATCAAGACGACTTCCATCAGTTGACTTTAGCAAGGTTAGAACATATTGCTTTCTTTTAAATAAGTTATGTCTTCACTTAACTTGATAATGATATATGATATGTAATGCATGGTTTGCGGGCAGTGTATATTTTTTCAGATCCTTATCAAACGGCCGATTTTCATAATTGGTCCTCCGCGCACCGGAACCACTTTTCTCCAAAAGCTCTTTTTCTCCGATCCGCACAACACATGCCTGAAGTTTTATGAGCTCCTGCAACCAGTTGTAGACGCCGATACCGTCGTCGAGGACCCACGAATTTTGAAAACTACACAAAGAATAGGTAAACCACATTATAATGATATTGCTGCTCAATGAGTCTTAAGAATTCCCTGCTGTAGAAGTATTAAATGATGAGGTTGTACTCCAAAATACCTTCAAAAGAACTATTTTTAAAATATGCATTTAATACAGAGTGAAAAAATATCCATTTTAGCCAAGCTGTATGCCAACAGACCGCATTTGAAAACCATGCACACGGAGGAGGCTATCGGTCCGGAAGAAGATCATGCTCTATTTGATAACATCGGTTTGTTTAAGGAAAACATGTTCCAAGGCAACAATTGCATAGAATATTTAAATTGGTTTGAGGCTCGGACCAGTGATGAAATGGTTGAAGTTTATCGTTTCCACAAGCAGCAAACTCGGCTTATACTTCACAGCAGAGGTGATTATTCAATTGGTTTTACCTTACAAATAACTGATTCCCTAAACGTAAAGAGACGTAATACATTTGAGTAAATGAACCACATCTCTCATTCTCGGTCCATTTCCATCTTAAACCCTTCAGGAAGCGTAGACTTTCGCGCCATATCTTGATTGTCCTCGGAAAAATACAAATCATTATTAGACCAGTTTCTGAACTTACGTTAGATGTATTGTACCATTTTTCATTAAATAAGTGGCATATAAACGAACCATGATTCATTTGTCTAGATCTGCCATATTTTATCTGAAATTGCAGAATAATAATTCGACATCGTGTACTTATGTTTCGGGGGGTTCTCATCTTAAAAGTCTGAAATAAAAAGGAAAATAGATATTAATGTTTAATTTAGGGACACTTTCAAACCGAAACAGTTTGCATAATAATTACGAGAATACAGCGTTATTCTTGAAACATTTTTCAATTTTTGATGCGAGATTTACATAGCTCGTCGATTTGTTTTTAGGAGCCGTGAATAGTGATCGGCAGATGGTTTTTAAAGATAATTTCCACAGTCTGTATTTGGATGCTCTGCTTAAGGTGTATCCTGAAGCAATCTTTGTTCACACCTACCGCAATCCGAGCGCATCCGTAGCTTCCCTGTGTTCCGTCGTCGAAGCATTGAAACATCTCATCTATGAGGAACATGGCATCGACTTAAAACAACTTGGCAGGGAGGTATTAAATTGGTCATTTTTTCATGGTGGAATGGAGATGATGAATTTTCGGAGGAATCACCCAGACCTGGAGCACAGATTCATCGACATTGCATATGACGACCTTGTCACATCGCCCATGGATGCTGTGAAGAAAATATACGATCATTTTGGCCTGGGACTGAGCGACCAAGGGAAAGACAACATGGAGGCGTATGTGATGGAAAACCCACAAAACAAATATGGCCGCCACAAGTATGACCTGAGGCGTTATCATCTGACAGAAGAGGACGTTTTGAAGCACTTTAAGGAATATGTGGAGGAGTACAAAATCCCATGTTCATAATCAGTGTTAACTTTTATCAGTCGTCAGAGTTGTCTTGTGACTCTTTAACAGTTGGTAATTAGTAAAATATGGAGATTCAAAATTACGCTGTAAATGGATGCTTTATAACTTAAAATCAGCCACGCATTTTAGTTTGCTTTAAAAGTTATTAAAAGACGATACATTACTGGGGCATCATTTTATTTCTGTTTGGTTTGGATTTATGTTATTACACGTGTGTCCTTGTCTTTATTTACACCATATCTCTGTAACTTGTTTTAATCTTCAATACATTTAAGGTCTGCAGTCCTGAAACATTATGCTTAATCAATTGCTCCCTGTTTTTTCTTGGCATGAGTGTTAGAAATAAGAAATAATAAAGTACATAATGATAACCCATGAATATATTGAATTGCATCAATCAACAGCAAAATTCAGTTTTGAAACTGTGGTTGTTTCTGATTCTCTGATAACACCAGGATAAATAACATTCCACAGGGTCAAAGCTCATTACTGAGGTCTGCAAAACTCCACAAATTCTTTGAAATATTCCAACACTTCTTCCTCTGTCAGATTATAGCGTTTCAACCCATACGCGTGCTGGCCGTATTTGTTTTGCGGATGGTCAGTAACGTAAGTAGACATCTTGGCTTCCCTTAACGCCGTCAACTCCAAGCCAAAGAAGTCGTAAATCTCCTTTACAACTTTCATTGGCGATGCAACAATATCTACGTAATCTACATCGCAGAATCGGTGCGCTTCTTCTGGGTGTTGCTTTCTATATCGAACCATTTCATTTCCACCGTGAAGCAGCGGAGACCGCATGGTATGTTGACCAAAATCATCCAGGTCTATGTTCTTAGGCTTGGACACGAAAGTAGCAAACCTTTTTGATAACAGGGAACATACGGACGCGGTCGTCTCACAGGGGTCACGGTAAGTACTGATAAAGCGGGCGTCCGGGTAAACCTTCAGTATTGCCTCGAGATTCGCTGCGTGCGTCGACTCTTTGAAAATCACTTGTTTGTTGTTCAATACATTGTCTGAAATAGTATTTATTTATTCATTGTTATTTTTTGGCCATTTTTATCTAGCAGAAGTATTCAAAACGCGAATGATACGTTATCATTATCATAAGTGATCAGTGACATATCGGTGACGTCATCACGGCCCTCTGGTGAAGGGTCGAAGTATTATATGTGCCTCAAACGTCAAAACACATTTAGTCTCTTCGAATACGATTACCACAACTTATCCTGTTTGAGATACAATTCGACCCTTAACGTACTGTCAATCGTGCTTGTGGCAATAATATGATGATACCAAAGTTTTAAATAGATTTCGGTTTCAAAATACATGTACCCGTAAACAATTGTCCATACCTTTGCCCCTTGCTAAGAATATGATTTGCATCTGAAGTTTATGGAAGCGGTAAGCTTCCACCATTTGATCCTTGGTGAGCGTCCTTCGCCATGCCTCGTAATCCTGGATGTTGGAAGTGAAGAAAAGGAAGTTCTTAAAAAGCCCCATATTTTCCATCAGATTGAAACACTCGTAAGGCCCCGTTGCCCGTATGTAGTGGATCGCTCTCAACTCTGGCGTTGCTGTGTACCGTGACCCTGCGTACGAGATACATTCATAAGTTCCGTATTACGTTTTGGTTATCTCGGAGCTGTATATGTTCCTACATGTAGACTTGAAAGTGAAAGGCAGCGACTCGTTCTCCTTTACAGAGGTGTTAACTTTATAGAGTAGCATTTAGAGCTGAGTAAAACGCAATAACACATCGTTAATGTACCCCTGTATATTGCAGTTTTGTCATCCGTACATTTTCACGTCATATACATTGTACATTGTACGAGACTCCCATTTTAAACCCACCCACGTTAAATATAACCCATTTCTGCCTTATGATCATGCAAGTCTCATCAAAATCAGTGTATGACTTTTTGAGTAGTGCTGACGACAAACAGATAAACAGGCTAACAGATGAATGGAGGTAAGAACATTAGAGAGTTTCCGGTGCAGTTGGGATACGACGGCTAGATTGTTACGTATGTGCTAATGTATCCAGTAACGCGCTTCTCTCTTCGCGTTCCGGTAATGTCCCGGAATGCTGGCGCTCATTCCAATATAATAATAACAATATACGGCCCCGTAGCCATCTACTTCCAAGGGGGGATTCTTTTTTATGAAAAAGGAGACAAATATTACCCAAAAGTGCAATTTTTCCCGACAAAAATGGCGGTTCGTAAGAACCCCACGATCAACCCCTGACTACATGCCTGATAAACCAAAACTAGCGGCTCCTCTCTGTTAAAAAGTCGAAATTTGCATGAACGTACACTTGAACTATTGTAAAAAAGTATATAAGTCATATAAATTAGCAAACATAACCTTTAATAACTATTTTCAATAATCTTCCGCACTGGCTAGATAGGAGCGCTTGTATTCCGCAGACTAGATAGGATGACGGTATATGAATGTGGTGAACGTCACAAGTGCGCACAAACCGATGACGTATTAATCTAGCCGGCGTATCTCACCGGCAACGGAAACTCTCTATTAAGCCACCTTGGCCGAAGTAACAAAATAACAACAGCAGCAGCAGTACCAGCAATAATAATAATAATACCTAATTTCCTAATCTCAGTTAGCTCCCTTGACTGCGCATGCGTGCTGGTAGCCTCTTCCACAGGGTGCATCACCTCAAAGTACCTAGGAGAAGTGTTCTTAGGATCCTCGTACAGGAGACTCTGCAGGAAAGATGTTCCAGAGCGAGCAGGTCCGATAATGAATATGGGTCTCTTGATCTGACACTGAAATGACTAAGAATAGTCTGATAGCGTATCGCATGTATCGCCCAAACTCAATATAGGGATGCATTTTACATGCTGAAGTATCAAAAAATAAAATTGAATTAATTCGAAGTTGTATTCAATTTTTATACATATGTATATATGCATAGAATAAAAACCCATGGCCGCCTCAATATTACACCTACATCTACATTATGTAAGAAGACTAAATGGTAACATATGTTCAGGTGTAACGAAACTGAGGGTCCGTGTAACAAGAAGTCCGCCCTCTATATAGTTATAATGGTTAGGGTTAGTCTGACCTAAGTGCGTCAAATCTAGGGCGAGCCTTTACTTTACAAATGAATGGGAAGCGGACTCTCTATCATGGGGGACTCTCTGTCATGTTACACAACCCAGGGAGTGAAGATAATAGTTTATATTATTTTTCCAAAAAGTGCACAGGGGGGGGGGGGGGGGCATTAACCCTTTACCCCGGCATTCAGGTTGTAGACTGGTGAAAATGATGACAAAAATTGATGACCCCTAAGTAGTCTAACCTCCAACCGTCAGGTATAACACACATACCTTCAAAACATCAACAGACGCCAGTCGTTTGGATATAGCCAACCTATTTTGAAGAATTTCAGTCCATCGCGTTTCAACAATCATTCTGCCTGCCACAGTTAAATCTTCGTCTTCCCGATAACACTTGAGAAGTAAGCAAAAGCCCTCGTGCCACCACCGGCGAGTGAGGCTTTCTGACAGAATAACCCGTCGCTCCTCAACTGTGAATTTTCTCCACAGACTTTCCTCTGTGAGCGGAGTCAGTCGTCTCCTAAGCAGCACCCGGCACAGCCAGTCCAGTAACATGTGAAAGTATGGAAGACAGAACGCGTATAAATCTTGTAAACCTGGCATATTCACGTATCACAGTATTAAGGCTAAGGTTCGCGACTAGAACTCTAAAAACCTAAAAAAAGTTTTTATGACCGCATTGTACTAGCTTGGTCGCTCCGACTCTGCGGGGAATCTCGCTATTTATTAAAGTGCAATCAGTGGAATCAGCTGAATAGTCTGACTGGTATCCTCGGGCAGCTTGGAGGTAATTAAATTCCGTGTGCTGATTAACCTGATTCCATTGATTGCATTTTAGCGAGAATTTCCAGCACAGTTGGTTCAACCCAGCTAGAGCGACGTGTGAATCTGAATGCTCCCAATGAGAGGTTTGAATTTCACAGTATTTTGTCCTAACCCACAGTCTTGGTTACTCAGGCGTATGGTGGTGATAGCGTCATTTTATGGCCTAAGCTGCACCTTTAATATTAACCTCTACAAAAATCAAACACGGGGTATAAACTTATTCTTGACCTTGATAACCGTATGATTTGAGATAGTTGGGCCTTTGCAGTGGCGGATATGGGATGGGGGGGGGGGGTCTGAAAAATATATTTCACTCTAGAAATTAGTATTTTGACTAGCTGAATCATACTTCTAAACCGGATCAATTGTTCGCCCTCTAAAATTAAAAAAGAAAAAAAAAATGGGCCCTTCAGTGGGCACCGAACCCCACGCAGCCACTTATTCCTAAAAATTGGACCCCCTTCAGATAATCCTCGATCCGCCCCTGCTCTGCGTCTGGTGTCCCAGATGATATGATAACCGCATTAAGGTCTGCATGCCTGACCAGCTATTTCAAAGAGGTGAGGTGGGGTCTTTAATTTTTTCAGTGGAACATTTTATGGCGGTTTTAGCATACACCCTAAGTTGAACCAACTTTAGAAATTGCGCAAAGCCTAGATCAGATAAGGATTCAGAGCAAACTCTTTTGTGGCTTGGATAAGCCTTCTGTTAACTGTTCCGAATCTCCCTCGTCTTCGGTTGTCCTAATAAAAACTGGAGTCCCTTGGCTGTGTAGAATGATTGCATGCGTGGCCTCAGCATAAGAGGTAGATACTATTAAGATGTGGTGATATTCACTCTTTCGGGTAGGTACATGTATGTATAGATAATGATGCTATGTTAAGATATTATATGTTGCCCATTAATTCACAATTTTAGATATTTGAAGAAGTGGAGAAAGTAATGAAACAACTGTGCATGCGTTACTCAGAGTTCACGCAGTAAGTTGAGATCAAGCAATAAAAAAATATTTGTTACCATAACATTTATGTGGTGGAATAGAAAGCTCGCCAGTTCTTGAACATTTAAACGTCTTTTAATGATTCCCTCTTCTTAGGGGCTTGCTAAAACATCAAACTCCTCGTTAAAAAAAAAGTCAGCTCTGTAGGAATTCTCAGTGTCGGGTTCTCAGATACGGCTTCGTGTGCATCATGAACTTAAACGGTCATGAAAAACCTTGGTCGAGGACTGGGGTTGCCCGGGTTGAAATAGGGCACCCGGATTATCGATTGAAATAGCAAATATATACACATGTACATCCAAACTGGCCCTCTCCCTGACAAGCTAGAAAATTTCCATTTGATCCATCACTCAGAAACGAAGCTTCTGTGGCTCCGTGGTAACTCCGTTGCCTTGTGCGTGAGTGTATCCTTGTCCGCTGGTTCGAGACCCAGCAAAATGACTCTGATATTTTTTTCCTAAAAGTAATCTGTAAAATTTGCTTTTGATTACTATAAGAGGAAACTCGTACCTACGGAGGGTGGGCGGGTCAGTCACGGCGCAGTCGGTAGCGTGCTTGGATGCAAAAAAACAATACAAAGCGTCACCAACCATGGTAACGAGAAGTCACGAGTTCGAATCCCGGATGAGGCACGTCAGTCCATCACGACAACGACCTTGCCCCCTGTTCGGGCAGTAACCAGAACGAATGCGGGCTCTCGTGGGTCCTAGCAATTTACCTTTTGCACAATAAAACGATATACTTGAGAATAAGTGATGGATTTAAAAAGAACACAGTAGCATAAAGTCTGCGTCGTCAATAATATGACATGGGAATGGTCATTGATCTCTATCTTTTTCCAGCTACGTCACCGATCAAACTTGCATTGAGCTATTGCTAACCGCGTATAGAGCCTCGCCTGTCATACTGCAATTTCAGCAAAATGGGCTCTTTTCTCGGTGGGATTTTCAGAGGAAAAAAGTTTTATTTTTTACAAAAGTCGCCCCGTCGCTATTGCTTTTACCAGCTGTAAACTACGTTTTGTCTTTTTATGCACCCCCTTCTATTTCTATCTTAATGGGTCCATGCTTCTCAAGACTGTTCATATGTTCATTCAGTACCCGGGGCAACTCCACAGTCAACAATGAAAGAGTAAAATCTACTCAAATCTGAAACCGCCAAGGTGTGAACAGCCGTGGATCTCATCGTGCTCTTTAACGTCAAAGGTGAAACCACACGTTATCTCGTTGCAAAATAAAATGAAACTAAAAACATCTGAACTCATCTAACTAGGAACATTTCCAGCGGATAAGCAATGAAACCGATCGACCTTGTATTGATTCAGTAGCTTCAGGTATAACAGCACGTCATACCACCAACCGATCGACCTTGAATTGATTCAGTAGCTTCGGGTATAACAACACGTCATACCACCTGTTAACCGCGTTCACCCGAAAAAAAAATTTCTTCTGGGCGGAATTATTTGCCAAATATGTTTTGCTCGAAATTCGCATCGACGCAATTGCTTGAATGGAAAACACACCAGTTTTCTGCACATTTGGACGTTTTAATTACAATATACGCTTATTATCCGTTTTGTGAGCAAACGCATTTTTCTCACGGTATAGAACATAACAATAAAATGAAAAGGCAGGGCAAGTAAAGATTACTTGTCTTGAAAAAGTTTGTTGAAATTGTTTATATAATGGATAGGTCTATGTTATCAATAAATACGTTACCAAAAAACGTGAAGGTATTGTTTTCTGTTTTCAGTCTTTGTTGTCCTTTGGTGCGACACTGTGGATGCGTGCGACGTTGTACATGTGCACAAGCATGTATATACGTCGCTCATTCTTCTTTGTTACGTTATTATGATACATACGTTACCATGAAGCGTGTAAATATACATTTATTCTATTTACATTGGTTGTCTTTTGTTTTGTGGGCACAAAACACTTCTGCCTTAAAGTGTTGGCCCACAAAACGAAAGACAAACCAATGTAAATAAAATAAATAAATATTTACACGGATCACGGTAACGTATATATCGGTAACGTATGTATCACTTTAACGTAACAAAGAAGAATGAGCGACGTATAAACATGCGTGCGCACATATACAACGTCACACGCACACACAGAGTCGTGACAAAGGACAACAAACAATGAAATCAAAAAATCATGAACTTAAACGGTCATGAAAAACCTTGGTCGAGGACTGGGGTTGCCCGGGTTGAAATAGGGCACCCGGATTATCGATTGAAATAGCAAAAATATACGCATGTACATCCAAACTGGCCCTCTCCCTGACAAGCTAGAAAATTTCCATTTGATCCACCACTCACCAACGAAGCTTCTGTGGCTCCGTGGTAACTCCGTTGCCTTGTGCGTGAGTGTATCCTTGTCCGCTGGTTCGAGACCCAGCAAAATGACTCTAATATTTTTTTCCTAAAAGTAATCTGTAAATTTTGCTTTTGATTACTATAAGAGGAAACTCGTACCTACGGAGGGTGGGCGGGTCAGTCACGGCGCAGTCGGTAGCGTGCTTGGATGCAAAAAACAATACAAAGCGTCACCAACCATGGTAACGAGAAGTCACGAGTTCGAATCCCGGATGAGGCACGTCAGTCCATCACGACAACGACCTTGCCCCCTGTTCGGGCAGTCACCAGAACGAATGCGGGCTCTCGTGGGTCCTAGCAATTTACCTTTTGCACAATAAAACGATATACTTAAGAATAAGTGATGGATTTAAAAGGAACATAGTAGCAGAAAGTCTGCGTCGTCAATAATATGACATGGGAAGGGTCATTGATCTCTATCTTTTTCCAGCTACGTCACCGATCAAACTTGCATTGAGCTACTGCTAACCCCGTATAGAGCCTCGCCTGTCATACTGCAATTTCAGCAAAATGGGCTCTTTTCTCGGTGGGATTTTCAGAGGAAAAAAGTTTTATTTTTTACAAAAGTCGCCCCGTCGCTATTGCTTTTACCAGCTGTAAACTACGTTTTGTCTTTTTATGCACCCCCTTCTATTTCTATCTTAATGGGTCCATGCTTCTCAAGACTGTTCATATGTTCATTCAGTACCCGGGGCAACTCCACAGTCAACAATGAAAGAGTAAAATCTACTCAAATCTGAAACCGCCAAGGTGTGAACAGCCGTGGATCTCATCGTGCTCTTTAACGTCAAAGGTGAAACCACACGTTATCTCGTTGCAAAATAAAATGAAACTAAAAACATCTGAACTCATCTAACTAGGAACATTTCCAGCGGATAAGCAATGAAACCGATCGACCTTGTATTGATTCAGTAGCTTCAGGTATAACAGCACGTCATACCACCAACCGATCGACCTTGAATTGATTCAGTAGCTTCGGGTATAACAACACGTCATACCACCTGTTAACCGCGTTCACCCGAAAAAAAAATTTCTTCTGGGCGGAATTATTTGCCAAATATGTTTTGCTCGAAATTCGCATCGACGCAATTGCTTGAATGGAAAACACACCAGTTTTCTGCACATTTGGACGTTTTAATTACAATATACGCTTATTATCCGTTTTGTGAGCAAACGCATTTTTCTCACGGTATAGAACATAACAATAAAATGAAAAGGCAGGGCAAGTAAAGATTACTTGTCTTGAAAAAGTTTGTTGAAATTGTTTATATAATGGATAGGTCTATGTTATCAATAAATACGTTACCAAAAAACGTGAAGGTATTGTTTTCTGTTTTCAGTCTTTGTTGTCCTTTGGTGCGACACTGTGGATGCGTGCGACGTTGTACATGTGCACAAGCATGTATATACGTCGCTCATTCTTCTTTGTTACGTTATGATACATACGTTACCATGAAGAGTGTAAATATACATTTATTCTATTTACATTGGTTGTCTTTTGTTTTGTGGGCACAAAACACTTCTGCCTTAAAGTGTTGGCCCACAAAACGAAAGACAAACCAATGTAAATAAAATAAATAAATATTTACACGGATCACGGTAACGTATATATCGGTAACGTATGTATCACTTTAACGTAACAAAGAAGAATGAGCGACGTATAAACATGCGTGCGCACATATACAACGTCACACGCACACACAGAGTCTTGACAAAGGACAACAAACAATGAAATCAAAAATCAATAACTTCATGTTATTTGATAAAGTAAGTATGTATCGGTAACAAATTTATCATGTGAATATTTTTCGCAGATTGTTGAAAACAAGAAATCTTTTTTATCCCATTGTCTTTTATTGTTATGTAACAAACTGTAGCGTTGGCCCACAAAACGTAACACAAGCAACTGAAAAAAAAAAAAAAAAAAAAAAGAAAAACATTAACACGCAATAAGGTAGTGAATGTATCATGTATACAATTTCAACAAACGCTTTCAAGACAAGTAATCCTTACTTGCCATGTTTTACTTTTATTGTAATGTACCATACCGCAAGAATGAGGTGCTGGCTCACAAAACAGACAAAACACAATGAAAATGAAAGTAATTGCACACTAAATGGTAACGTATGTATCGGTAACGTATCACCACTGTATGTGTCACATTAACGAAACAAAAAAGGATGAGCCATGCAAAATCATACGTGCCCACATATACAACGCTGCACGCACCCACAGAGTCGTGACAAAAGACAACAAACAATGAAATCAAAAAGCAATTTGCCTCAGTAACAATCGGACGCGCGGTTTTAGGATCGTGCGCCCCCTGCGAATTTTGCGTGCAATAGAATCTGCTGAGATTGTAGAGTTAGAGGAAAGTCCTTTGTCACAACTGTTGTATATGTGCTCACCTCTGTTTTTTCGTCGCTAATTCTCATTTGTTACGTAAATATGATTTATACGTTACCGATAAATACGTAACCGTGTAGCGTGTAAATACTTTTTTCATTGTTTATTGTCCGTTTTGTGAGCAAACGCCTTTTTCTTACGGTTTACTACATTACAATAATAAGAAAAGGCAGGGCAAGTAAAGATTACTTGTCTTGAAACAGTTTGTTGAAATTGTAAATATAATAGATAGATCTACGTTATCAAAACATACGTTACCAAAAATCGTGAAGGTATTGTTTTCTGATTTCATTCTTTGTTGTCCTTTGGTGCGACACTGTGGATACGTGCGACGTTGTATATGTGCGCACGTATGTATATACGTCGCTCATTCTTCTTTGTTACGTTATTATGATACATACGTTACCATGAAGCGTGTAAATATACATTTATTCTATTTACATTGGTTGTCTTTTGTTTTGTGGGCACAAAACACTTCTGTCTTAAAGTGTTGGCCCACAAAACGAAAGACAAACCAATGTAAATAAAATAAATAAATATTTACACGGATCACGGTAACGTATATATCGGTAACGTATGTATCATTTTAACGTAACAAAGAAGAATGAGCGACGTATAAACATGCGTGCGCACATATACAACGTCACGCGCACACACAGAGTCTTGACAAAGGACAACAAACAATGAAATCAAAAAACAATATCTTCATGTTATTTGATAAAGTAAGTATGTATCGGAAACAAATTTATCATGTGAATATTTTTCGCAGATTGTTGAAAACAAGAAATCTTTTTTATCCCATTCTCTTTTATTGTTATGTAACAAACTATAGCGTTGGTCCACAAAACGTAAAACAAGCAATTGAAAAAAAAAAAAGGAAAAACATTAACACGCAATAAGGTAGTGTATGTATCATGTATACAATTTCAAAAAACGCTTTCAAGACAAGTAATCCTTACTTGCCATGTTTTTCTTTTATTGTAATGTACTATACCGCAAGAATGAGGTGCTGGCTCACAAAACAGACAAAAAAAAACAATGAAAATGAAAGTAATTACACGCTAAATGGTAACGTATGTATCGGTAACGTATGAATAATTTTAACGTAACCAAGAAGAATGAGCGACGTCAGCAATGGAAAAAAGGAAATGGGAAAAAAAAATAAAAACAAACAATGAAATCAAAATACAATATTGCCTCGGTAACATTCGGACGCAGGAGTTTTAAGAGCGTGCATCCCCTGTGAATTTTGCGTGCAATAGAATCCGTAGAGATCGTAGAGTTAGAGGAAAGTCATTTGTCACGACTGTTGTATATGTGCTCACCTCTGTTTTTACGTCGCTAATTCTCATTTGTTACGTAAATATGATACATACGTTATCGATAATACTTTACAATGTAGCGTGTAAATAATTGTTTATATAATAGATAGGTCTACGTTATCAATACATGCGTTACCAAAAAAAAAAAAAATAAATAAATAAATAAAAAATAAAGGTATTGTTTTCTGATTTTTTTTTTTGTTTGTTGTCCTTTGGTGCGACACTGTGGATGCGTGCGACGTTGTACATGTGCGCACGCATGTATATACGTCGCTCATTCTTCTTTGTTACGTTATTATGATACATACGTTACCATGAAGCGTGTAAATATACATTTATTCTATTAACATTGGTTGTCTTTTGTTTTGTGGGCACAAAACACTTCTGTCTTAAAGTGTTGGCCCACAAAACGAAAGACAAACCAATGTAAATAGAATAAATAAATATTTACACGGATCACGGTAACGTATGTATCGGTAAAGTATGTATCATTTTAAAGTAACAAAGAAGAATGAGCGACGTATAAACATGCGTGCGCACATATATACAACGCCGCATGCACCCACAGAGTCTCGACAAAGGACAACAAACAATGAAATCAGAAAACAATATCTTCATGTTATTTGGCAACGTATGTATTGATAATGCTTCTATCATATAAATAATTTCAACAAACAGTTTTAAGACAAGTAATCTTTACTTGCCCCCTGTTTTTCTTTTTATTGTAATGTAGTATACCGTAAGACAGCGGCCTATAAAACGAATTTTAGGATCGTGTGCCCCCTGCGAATATTGCGTGCATTAGAATCTATGGAGATCGTAAAGTTAGAGGAAAGTCTGCCTTGCGAGTCGCAAGGGCCAAATGAGATGTCACTTCAAGCAGGGACGCTAATTGCAAGGTGCGATGGCCGTGGAAATTGTATCCATATCTCTAGTTTGTCTTGCTATCTGCGTGCGTAGCAGGCACACACCACTATATTGAAGAGAAAGCAATGCACGGCGAATGTAGTTCCCTTTTGCCTCACACTTGCCTCACACGCTTGTGATGACGCACTAACCGCGTACAACAGTTTTACCTACTGTTTTTCTTTTTTCTTCTTCTTTCTACCCTTTAAGGTTTTTTCTTGCATTTTGGGGGCATATTAGAAGCTGAAATAAGCAAAATTTGAAAAAATTTGAAGATTGTTGTACAGGTTGCACCGTCGTCGTTAATTGTCGAGACACGAGTGTGCGGCGTGAGTACATCTTTTATAATCCTGGCATATGGGTGACGCACGTGCGACGCACTTCCGCCCTGCTTTCGACTTTGATCGTTAGTTGTGAGGGCGTGCCGTGCGCCGCAATCAACACGAAAATGGCGCCTGCTCTTTCCTTGCTTGCGACGTGCGTCTTGGACCACGCATGTCCCACTTGCGAACTCCTTGCGAGCGAAGCAAGTTATGTTTGCGGCCTCGCTGTTCACAGATTATTCGTAGAATCTTTTGGACATGTTCAACATCGACTCACACGAAGCAGCCAAACTGTTGGGTGGCCTGTCCAACCTTCAGCCAACAAAAAAAAAAAAAAAAAAAAAAAAAAAAAAAAAGCCTGGTATGTGCTGCTTTGGACAGAATGTCATAGAAATTTTCCGGGTGATAATCGCTGGCCGTATGATTGTAAAAAGGTGATATCTCCATGCCCAATATCAATGGCATACCAATCCAAAACGACGACCCCCGTTCTCTTTATGACTTTAATTGTCGTGTAATTTGTAATCCTAGAGATGAATTTGACTGCAAAGCAGCCATATTTCCACGCGGCGATAATACGCATGCGGAGAAAGCTCTTCGTTGAGGGTGTTTTTTATTTATTTTTATTATTTTATTTATTTATTTATTTATTTGGAGAACGGATGAAAATCGGTGCGCGCGCAGGATGTCATCCATAAAAATAAAAAAAAAGTGTGGCCTAATCAAACTCTTCAATGTTTAAATATCGGAGCACATCTACTGCAATTTCCCTGGATTGTGCCCGCGTGCAAACAGCTCTTCTCGCGAGATTTCTCGATAGCTGACCTTTTCACGTTAGCTGCCATAATGGGTAAATCTTGTGTTACTTACTTCAAATAAATCGTGTAAAATCTGCACTTCAGACCAACATCTGTTATTTAGGGATATGTCCAAAGTTCGTTGATAGTCATATTGTTCTCTGGTAGTCTCTAATTTATTCAGAGATTTTTATAAGATGGAAAAGAACACTTTAAATTCTAGTTGAACTCCAGGCCGGAATGCATGATCTCTCCACAAAACATGTTTTTTGCTCACGCTACCCGTACCACGTCTTTGGTTTAGTCTCACGAGTCACGAGATAATAGTACCCACAACATTCATTTATTAGTTTCTATTGGTTTAGTATTAAAATGGCAACATGACGTTAACTTTAATCTTTGACATTGACCAAAAAATAAGAGGGGGCGATGATGTATAGAGAAAATTTAGGTCTGCAGTAAATCCATTAAGGCATTTTATGAGACCTTACTGTTATATTCCAGGTATTTCCCGAGACAAATGGCATAAGAGGAGGTCCACGGGTGGGCGTATGATCCCACTCCGTAAGAAGAGGAAGTTTGAGTTGGGAAGACCCCCTGCACACACCAAGGTATGGTGGCAAAGCCAACGCAAACTTTTAAGAAAGCGGCTGCTGGAGTCGTATATTGGAGTTTTCTCGTTTTAGCTCGAATATCCCTATGAGGTCACTGTTTCTGGGATAAGTCAGTACATCTAATAAAAGTTACATGAAAGCATCCTTGAAGTGGTATTTTTGCATGTGTTGGGTTTTATATGTGTGTGTGTGTGTGTATTGCATATGTATTTAGTCAGCATTGTAAACACTAATGGGGGGAGGGTGCAGTTTAGATTCTTAGGTCCTGGCAGCTCAAAAAGTCGGTTAGATTGAAACATTTAGCCTTCACACTGGATATTAATCCAGAGACATTTTCTTTTCCAGCTCGGAGGCAAGCGTATCCACACTGTGCGAACACGTGGTGGTAACAAAAAGTTCAGAGCTCTAAGGCTGGACACTGGCAACTTCTCCTGGGGCTCTGAAGGTAAGACTGACCTCCTAGTGCAGGGTTTTTAAAAAACCTCTATTAATGTATGAACTATAAATAATATGACTGATTTATTTCCTGGGCCCGATGTTTTTATAGCGCAGGGTGGAAAAAAAATCTAATTCTAGTATTGTATTGATTTGAATGAAGGTGGCTGATTTAGTTAGGGCTCCAGGTTTTTCCTCCATTAAGTTTCGAATTTAAGAAAAATATTATTATTTTTATAGGACTTGAACTTTGGAAAACAGTGGGGCTTGAATACTGGACATAAGATATTACAGGATGAAGTGAAGACATTGATTATGTTGCTCTTGTCCAATTTGATGTCCAGTCATTTTGTGTTGAAATACCTGAAGGAGATACTTTCGTAAGAAGTATATTGCAGTTTTAGTCTGAGTTGGGGTTTGAAAACTTAGACATAAAAACATGGAAATTTTTCAAATGCATGTAGCATATTTTTAATGGCGTCCTTTTGGTTTTCAGCCATCACAAGGAAAACTAGGATAATTGACGTGCTCTACAATGCCTCTAACAATGAGTTGGTCCGTACCAAGACCCTCGTCAAGAGCGCCATCGTCCAGATCGATGCCACGCCCCTAAGACAGTGGTACGAGGCACATTACTGTGCCCCTCTTGGTCGCAAGAAGGGAGTGAAACTGGTGAGTCTGAGCTTTCTTACTCCGGGGTAGAGCAAATCATAGATCAGACAAGCTGTCATAGAAATTGAATGAAAAGCCATATTTGTTGTATTTATTTTTGTCTTTAACTTAATATGAGCTAGCATTTTGAATTGCAAAAGTAAGATTGGCTCTGCTCCATATAATAGCAATATGCTAAGAGTAATTTGGTTTGGACGACCTATGTTGGACTATGTATTTACTTGCCCTCATCTTGTGGCTAGTGCTTCAAACACAAAAATGATTAAAATTTATACTAATTAGCATTATTACTAGTAGTCAAGTTGTTGTTGGTACTACATAAGTACATATGTAAAGAAGGCTCGCATCGTTTAAGGATTTTAGACAATAGTTATTTTGGATTTTTTATTGGTATTTGAAATGTGTACATATGCCTGATGCATTTTCAGTCAGAGCAAGAAGAGGCAGCTTTGAACAAGAAACGCTCCAAGAAGACCCAGAAGAAGTACGATGAGAGGAAGAAAGTGGCCAAAGTAGAGCAGGCCTTGGAAGAACAGTTTATGACTGGGAGAGTCATGGGTGAGTTGAGAAAGCAAGAAGTAGTTTTCAAATAATCTGAAATTGTTGATAATTAAAGAAATTGAGGACTAAGCATGTCACGGTGTTGGGCTTGGAGATTGTACAAATAAAAAAAATCTTTTTTGTATGCATTTGTTGCTAGGTAGTATTGGTAGTATTGCAGTGTCTTTTTAAATTTTCATTTAAATTTCCAGTTATCACGTGTACAGCATTATTACAAAATTTTTTATCAGAATTAACCTTTGAACAAGTGCCTTTAATTAAAAAATTTGCATAACAAATGAGAAAAATTTATCTTGGTCCCTTTGATGTAAATACCTAGAACCAGTGGCGAATTTTAGTCACTGTGACAGTTGTCTGTTGCCTTGATTAAACATTGCCCATGCAAACTAGTCCAACCAGCTGAATGAAACTGCAGGCTAGATGATGACAGTTCTCAGGCAGATAGAGGTTGTTGCTGTTATAGCAATACAAACGCCTCTGATGTGATGCCTCCTTGTCATAGTTACACTGATAGTCGCAGTAAAAATTAAACTGGTTCTGATTGGTTCTTATTTCCATGTAAAACTCAGACATGAGCTTTTTCTGCGAAATCACTGAATTCCTCCTTTTTACATGACCCCAGAGCAATTAAATCCCCAAAAATTTACGTAAGGTGTTTGGTTTATATATGTGCAGTTTTTTTCTAAAACCTGGGTTAATGTCTGAAACTAGATTTTCACTGTGGTAATTAAAAGATTACAGTTTTTGAAAAGGGAAAGTGATAGTTCGTGATAGATTACTGTACTTCGTCTGACAGGAACAATTATAATATCACTTAAGGTAGGATAGCATGACTGAAGATAGGGAAGAATATTGTTGATATGTTATTGATTTGGTTGATGATTAAATAGCATGGATATAAATAGCATCACTGAGAAGAAACAAATTGGAGCATGGATGTAAAAAGCATGCAATATTCCCAAGTGCCAAGGGGAGTATATGATATGTAAAATCTATCCCAACCAATTTATAAATAGGTATTTCTTTAAGTCGTCTCCAACAAGTTAATCAGTACATATTTACTGAATAGTTTTTCTTTGCATTTATTAGTTTAAACTTATGGTTCTTATTATTATTTCATTTCAGCTGCGATCTCTTCACGTCCTGGCCAGTGTGGCAGATGTGATGGCTACGTTCTGGAAGGAAAAGAACTGGAATTCTATTTGAGAAAGATCAAGCAGAAGAAGGGCAAATAGACTGAAAAATAATGACCAACCAATTTCATTCTGTAAAAACTTGAGAGAAAAGGAAGAATATGTATTATGAATAAAAAATGTGAACTGAGTCATTTTGGTTCTCTTTTTTGTCATGGAAAGATAATGAGCAATTCTTTGAAGGAACTTCACTTGGTTTATACGTGTAGGATAATATTACGAAAGTAGAAGACATTTTCTGTCCTTGGAATTGTAATAAAAGATATTCTTAATTCTATATACTTGACAAACTGCCAAAAGGATTTAGGCCTCAGTTGATGAATTTTCATAGTAGAAAATAATTTCTGACATTGAAACTGCAATACCTACCCACTTCTGTGATATACAACCATCGACTGTGCAGGCATTTTTTGCTCTAGAATTTCCCAATTCCTCTGAGTGAAAATGAATCAGTAACTTCTAATTATTCAGTAGGAAGATCAGTATCAGAAAATGTGTAACTTGTGTTTAAAATTCTCCCTTTCGTTTGTTCTGGACTTTTGGTATCAAGTGTGGCAAATTCATACCAATAATTTGCCCCCAGCAAGTTGGGTGGGGGGCGGGCAACAATTTGACCAGGAATAGGTCTGCTCTAAATCCATATTTGGTCTAGATGTTTAGAACAAATGAGATTCACAGTAACTGGTTCACTTCGCGCAAAAGACCCCTCCTTTCCCACTCCCCATGTGCAGCATACAAAAATTGGCACGTGAAAAATGAATCTCTGGCCTTTGTAGTGCCCCCCCGCCTCTGAAATTTGCTGGCTACAGACCCCCCCCCCTCCACCTTTGCCTCAATGGAGTTTTAAAAAACTTGTATATAATGCATCTGAAATTACTTATCACAGAAGGGGTGATAAATCGTTTCCTCAGAATAAACAATGTCTTATTTCAAGCACACCGTCCTCCCCCCCCCCCAAAAAAAAAGAAACTGAAATTGATTTTCATCCTAAAGTTATTAAATTTTCTTCATGCTCAGTGGCAAAGTCAACTGTTCGCATACACAAAATTAATCCAATAATTTCTATTTTTTTAATCCATAACCACACGTGAAGAATGTGCAATACGATTACGTCGGCCTTCTTTCTAAACTTAAATCTATGATACACGTGTACCTTTAAAGTCAATTTCATTTCACCTCTCTCTATATATATATTTAACCATTTGGCAGTTTGAAGAATGAGCGGCCAGATGATAAGCTGATTTTTTTTAAACTTCGATTAAAATAGCATTTTTTTAATCAGATATTTTTGTCTACAAAAATAACGTCTTACAGTGACATAAAGAAAAAAATAAATGTTTATAAAAATATTTTTAAAAACTTTCACGTTTAAAGTCACATCTACTGTCCCCTTAAATCTAAACAATAAAACAAATTCTTCTTTAAAGGCAAACATGAAATCATTAATTTTGAATGGACTTTTTGGCTAGTGCGTGCACAATATGACGTCATGCAACCTTTGTAAAGGGCATGTACTTCCCACAATGCATTTCACCTCAATATGTCGTTCGCCATGATTGGTAATTGAAAGGGAACCTTCCTAAAATCTGGAGTCATCGAGGTTAGTGCATACGATTCTTGTTAAAATTTCCATTGTTAGTTGTTAAGCGAATTTCGTTGTAAATTTAAGATCAGTTTAAGCTTGCAATATTGCGTTAGCTTTGAGTAAATTCGTCCCAAATGCGAGCGATCCCAGGGGAAGTCGCCATGTTTTGATTCGACAAAGAAACACGAAGGGACCTTCTAGTAAGAGCTAAACGAAAGTAGAGAGAGCGTCTCAAACCTAACAAATCCCCGACGCTTGTTGCAGGTGTGGAAGCATGAACGGTAGGACACTCTAAACTCAACATGCACCAAGGAAGTTCCTGGGACGATAGCGTGATGTTGGCCAATGGGGGCCCGGACGTGCAGAGAGGGGGGCACCACCACCACCATCACCCTGGCATGACCCGAAGCAAGGACGACGCGATGGTAGCATACTTCTTTCAGCGGCCACAGCCCGACACTGAGCTCATGGGGTCAACCAAACGCTGGGCGGGCGGGGACGACAGTGTGATTGAACAAGGAATCAAGGTGTGTATTTTACACCTGTGTTTATTTGGGTTCTCCTTATGTGGGCCCTTTTCACATTGGGGTCCTTTTTCTGTTAATATTTTTGTGGACATAGTTGGGTATACCCCCTCCCCCATATCAATACAAATAGACATTCAAACACAATCTCAATCTCTCTCTCTCTCTCTCTCTCACATGCAGGCATGTGCACACACATGCACGCATTATTTAACAAGGTATCGTACAAAACATTCAATTTGTTTATCCATTAGAGAAAGAAAAAGAGAACAGATGGGGAAAGCCTGTGCCATTCCCAAACCCTCACTGCTAGGAGTGTTAGCTGTATAATGAGTGACATATATTTACAGGTGCTTGCACTTTGCCAACATTTCAGTTTCATTGTTGACATAACAAAATTGCAGCCACAAGTACTCCAGTGATTTCTCCATTGGAGCAGTAAACGAAGTAATTTAGCTTTTTTTGTCTGGAAAGATAATTGACAATTCTTTGAATGAAATGTTTTTCACTTTCAGGATTTAACTGTGATATTCCCCTCGCGGTGCCAAAATTGTAAAGAAAGTTTTGCAATGAAAAATGTTTTTTCTTATTGAATAATACTTTAATTTACTTTAATTCACTGTTTAATTGGAAAAGAAAACGAAGATAAAAGGAGGAAGGCATGGTAGTTTTACATGACAAAAGAGTTTTACTTTTCATATTAGGTATGAAGAATGCACAAAATTTGTTTAAAGTCAGAGACTGAACTGTTTTATTCATCTGAATGTTCATTCTGTTTTATTTCATTGTCAGCATCCAAGAATAATTATTTTTATTTCTTGCAGCTCCGCACAGGAGCCATTGGCGTGGAAGAGCTAGAGAGAGATTTTCACCATCACATGTCGCTGGATAGGGATGTGAGTACTTTAGAAAATAACCAGGTCCTCATGTGACAGGAATGTTGCTAGATCCCAGTTCTTTTTCCCATTACTTTATGTATGTGGCATCCATCCCATATGCTGAATTAGATGCTATGGGTTAACCCTAACCTGTTATCACAT